CCACGACTAACTGACATGTAACCTCAAAAACACAACCTGTATTGATAATGAAATATTTCTTGAGCAGCAAATCAGAATATTAGAATGATTTCTGAAGGATTATGTGACACTGAAGACTCACAGGAATAAATTTCATTTTAACATATATTCACATATGAAAGTTATTTAAAATTGTAATAATATTTCACAATATTAATTTTTTCTGTATTTTTCATAAAAAGAAAAAAAACAACGTTCAGGCCTGATTGGTAGACATGCTGGTAGTGTATATGTATACTGTATACCTCAATTCCATTTGCCTTTCTCACCCACAGTGTATTTTGGGATTGCCTTATTTAAGAAGGATACATGGACAGAGATGCTGTCTTAAAATGTGACTAAAACGGGCCTAATAATGAGGTCTCCAGTAGCTCACTAGGAGTCAGTGTTAACTGGTGTCCTGCAGAGGTTGAAAGCTGTATTTATAGCTCAGGGTCTCAGTGCTCAGATGTCCATTTGATGACTTGCATGACCTGCTGTAAAACTGACACTCCAGCAACAGCTCTAGACATCCTCCTCCATTAACATCAACAGACCCTCAGCACAGGTTCAATAGCTCAGACGCCCTGCAGCACCCTACAGACTCCGAACATTACCTTCTGACCTCTCAAACACATATATAATCAAATTCAAATCTTTTACCTTTACAACACCAGCTGTTGAGTATTTTGCAATTATTACAGGGGCCAAGCCCAGAAGGGGCTGTAGGAGGTGTATAAGGGGCTTTATAATCATTATTATAATTATTGTAATGTATATCATATTTCTACATACTAGGGATGTAACGATATTATCAATATCATGATATCGCGATAGCAAAACTGTGTCGATATTATCGAGGTCACATGACGATATGAAACGATAGGTCTTCCGGGCAAAAAGTGTAGTTTTTAAAATATATTTAAACTTCTTATTCTAACATAAAAGGTCTTTAAAGTTGTGTTTTGGACCATTATGCTTTGGCACAGTATCTGTCAAACAAATTAAAATCGAAAGCACAATATGGTTTAATCCCTTCATCAAGTCTGTTTTCACTGTGCGTTTCAAAGGTTAGGTTAGAGGTTTCATTGTAAGTTAGTTTTGGGTTTTGTTATATTATTTTCTTTCCTTTGGCGCCGCTTGCATTCCTTTTCCCTTGGGTTTATTTATTTATTTGTTTTGGGTTAAGTTGACTTGTTGAGTAAATAGTTTATTGTGTATATATATATATATATATTTTGGCATCTAATTCTTTATTAATTAACTCTTTACAAATGTACAATAAATTAGGGCTGTGCAATTAATCGCATGCGATTGTCATCTGCATTGCGTCAGTAAAGCCGGTTCCGTGATTGGTAGTAAATCGCCATCACCTGCTTTCAGATGGAGCGGCATTTAATACACAGAGCCGTAGTTCACTGACAAGCTAGGCAATATCTCGTTCATAATCGCAGATGAATCGCATTCGATAATGAACGCGATATTGCCTAGCTTGTCAGTGAACTACGGCTCTGTGTATTAAATGCCGCTCCATCTGAAAGCAGGTGATGGCGATTTACTACCAATCACGGAACCGGCTTTACTGAAGAGATGCGCTTGACAATCGTATGCGATTAATTGCACAGCCCTAAAATAAATATCACTGTTTTTGGCAGTACTTTGTTTGAAGTTTGGTTTCTTGCCACCGTCACCACGCCAAATTAATTACAATCTAAATGTTGCCTCATACACCCTAGTCCCACAAGTCGTAACATTTAATGGGGGCTCGTCCGGGATCATCAAAATGAAAAAGAATTCCTGAAATTGTGATCATTTGTGTGTGTGTGTTGGTGGCAACTCACGCTATTCAGTGTGTTGGTGGCGTATTCACGCGGAGAGGTATTGTGTTGCTTGTCTGCTTATTCTGCGTTAATTTTAAATCTTTAATTTGCAGAATTTCGTTACTAATCCGACATTAGAGCAGATTAATTTATTGCTAGATTTATTGCTGGTAGCGGACCACTATCAGATCTACACACGCAAACATCCAACAACCCAAGATTCCTTCAGATAAGGGCTGCGAGATTATTGGGAAAAAAACTCACATTGCGATATATATGAAAAAAATCGCCATATGGTTTGGGGGGGGAGGGGGGGGTGTCAATGATTGGTGTAATTTTGTAGGTGAGTAAATCAGCATAGAAAATAAACAAGCATAGATGAATATAATAGAACAAAGATACAAATTAAATAAAAAAAATTTTTTTTTTTTCAGGTAATTCTTACAGTATTCAGGTACAGAAACTGAATAATCAAATGTAAAATAACACTGCATAGTCTTCACTGTATAAATGAAATTAATACATCTGTGTTAAAGCTACAAAAGTGATTTTTCTCTGTGTGTTTTATTGTTTGGTTAACATTCATGACACAGAAAGCAACAAGAACATTAAACTGCTGTGAATATACTTTTACACATCCATTTTCTTTCTCAGTTGTTTACCTTCACCAAAGCCATAAGCAACTGAGTTTACAAGGATGTAATCACATGTATGTGTCATTTCAGGCACAAATAGACACAGAAGTGAACGTACATCTGCGTGGCTCTCACCATGTCTACGCCGGACGCGAGTGACATGGCGCGACGGACGCAACAAAATACTATAAAAAACTAACCTAAAAAAATCATTGATGCTGTCAGACTACACTGGATACAGTGTAGTTGCACACTGTATTGTAACAAATTTCTGACAGAAAACTGATGCCTCGTTCTATTTATGACGTAGGCTACTGACACAAAGTTCAAATGATTTGCAAAGGTTACTTTGTCGCGACTTTAGCTGTTGCGGTGCTGTCGCGTCCGGTGTAGATTAATAACAACAACTACAATAATAATGCATGAAATACATTGTATGAAACTATTATGCAAAATATTGTGTTGTATGATGCTATACATTAACATAACTTTCATGCATTATTATTATTACGGCAACAGCAAGAATCAATCAAAAGAAAATAAATATAATAATAATAATGCATGAAAAATACTACATGCAAATATTATACAACAGTGTTGTATAACATATCATGCTTTATTATTAATATCAATACAACAACAGCAAGAATAACTAAAAATAAATATGCGTGCATGAAATATAATCTAAAAAAAAAACTAAAACAATAATAATAATAATAATAAAAGACATTGCATAAATTATTATATAATATATAGTGTTGTATCATTTTATACAATAAGAGCTTTCATTCATTATTAGTATTAATATGACAACAGCAAGAATAAATAAATATGTAAGTATAATAATAATAGTAATAATAATAATGCATGAACAATATTGTATACAAATGTTAAACAATATATAGTGTTATAATATAATTTTATACAATAACATTCCTTTCATGCATTTAGTATTAATACAACAAAAAAACAACAAAACAAAAAAATAATATGCATGAAAGTAAGAAATAAAAATAATGTATGACATTGTATAAAATATTAGTGTTAAATGTTTAATGCATTATTATTATTAATACTAATTCGTCAACAACAAGAATTAATGAATGAATGAATATCCACCACACACCTATCACGAGGAGGAGCTTACTTCAGCCTTTATTTTCTTCAAGCAAATCTATTTTTTTTCTCTCGATTTCGTGGTGAAATATGATCAGGACATGCTTAACAGGATTTGTGAGATTCACTCATATTTTCTTCCTGATTGTCTCTTTTTTCAGTGTCAGTCTGGCATTAAAGAAGATGCATGGGGTAAACAAGGCCGCAGTCTCCATTACGCTTTGCTGTAATAGATTGTGGCTTTTAGTGTTTTCGTATATGCCGACCAAATCAATCAGCATCACTCCTAACGACACACATATAAGAAACTGCCCAGAATAAATGACCAATGGTTACCAGCTGTGCACATCTGACTTTGTCTTCAAGATACCGCTGGTTGCGGCAAACAGACTTGTTGAAAAAATGAAGCAGATAACAGACGAAAGCCATCAGGTCACGCAACTTCAAACTACATCGGTTGCATTCAGAGTCTCTAGAAGTAAATACGCAAGCGATAACTTAGATGCTCATAATGTTGCTGAAAGCTGCGTAATTAATTGAATCTGTCTGCAGCACTTTTGATACACAAGCGGCCCTTGGATTACCCATGATCCCAGTGTCTGTTATCACTCTACTAGACAAAGAGGAGACTACAGTAACTAAAAATGTAGGGTGAGATTTGTGAAGAATTTCCTGTCGTGTGTAGATTATCACCAAAAAACAACATCCTCCGTTATTAGCATCCTCTCTCACTGGCTATGACTGCTGTTGGTTTTCTTGGTCAAAATCTTGGTTTTCAATACATTAGAGACTCAAACAGCCCGAGAAAATGCTCTGTAGGGGGGAAACTTGCATTTTTTTGACAGGAAATGCTGCAAAAACAATATAACTAGACTTTTAATTTATAGAGTGCACACACAAAAGCTACTGGATTGTAAGATTCAAGTTTTTTTTTTGTTTTTTTTATATAGAATACAGACTTCTATATTGTATATATACACAGGATACAACTTGAAGTGAAATGTAAACCTGGTGCATTAAATAAAAATAAATAGTAGCCTGTTGCCATATTAACAATAATTAATAATAATTATTATTATTATAATTAACAATAATACTAATAATAAATAATTGTACTAATACTAACTGTACTTATTTTTTATACTAATAAAAAATAAATAGTGGCCTGTTGCCATATTCATAATAATTAATAATAATAATTATAATTAACAACAACAACAACAACAATAATAATAATAATAATAATAATAATAATAATAAATAATTGTATTAATAATAATAATAATACATGAAAGATGTTGTATAAAATATTATTAAATAAATAAATAAATAAATAAATAAATAAAAGTGAAGAAATATAAAGTGAATGTATAACGTGGCTGGAGGGTTTAACCTTTGGAAATGGACTTACCGTACTGGCAGCTTGGACCGCTGAATCTGGCCGGACAGTGGCAGAGTTGAGCAGAACCTTCTCTGCACTGACCTCCATTAAAGCACACGCCGTAACTGCACACAGCTGTCAGAGACACACAGACACAAAGAGATGCTGATCACACGCCTGGAAGCTGACATGAGACATAAGAACATGCGGCTTCAGCAGCGGTTTCTGTTGTACTATTAGCCTGTTAACACCTGAAGACAAAACACTCTTGCGCACTCCTGAAAACTGACAAACTCTTGCAATAAACAGAGCATAACAATAGAGTTGTATGAATATCTTAGATTGACTATCAGAGACAGTTTAAATCCACATCACCAACACAAACACATTACTGCAGTTAATGTTAACTAAAACTAAAACTATTAAAAATAATTGTAAATAACTGAAATAAAACAGAACAAAATAAAATAAAACTTGGCAGCTAACTGAAATAAGTTTTATATGTATATACAGTATGTTATGTTAAAAAAATCAATAAAACTATATAGAAATGCCGGGAAAAAAATTATGACAAAACTACAATTAAATTGAAATTGAAAATATAAAAATAAAAGCTCATTTAAATTATTTAACATTTACTAAAATATTAAATATTAAATAACAAATATTTACTAAAATATTTAACATATTTTATAATAAACACAAACAAATATAAGTATATAAATAATACTAAAATAACACTGAATGTTAGCATGTGAAATTACACCACCACTGTAACATGTTTTGATATGTGAATGGTGTCATAATATGAAAGTTATGTCAAAACATGAATATTATTTTCAAAAAGCAAAAACCATCATATTGCACTTTTAAGAGCAGTCACTCAACGTCTTTGTCATCATATAATATATACGCAAAAATATCATGCATTTCAAAACCTGAAAGATTGCAATCTAAATATATGAAAAAAGGTTTTACAGAAACCAAAGTAATCTACACAAGTCAGGATCAAAACATTCCGGAGCATTTCCTTTTGAAATATCTGAATATGAATAAACCTTTGGCAATACCCATATTATTACATAATACATTATTACATAATATGTGCTGGAACTCACGATAATCGAGACAAAACATGATATGAATCTTCATAAACCCTGAAATACCTTCAACTCAAGTCTGTTAAATCAAATCCACGAGGATTGTTGTGAGCGATTAGCTGAGCTTCACTCACCTTAGATGACCAATTGTGCCAATTCAAAGACACATTCCCATTCTAAACATTAGCAGACCTGAAAGAATGGATGGACAATTACTGTCTTTGTAACAACAGGCATTGTTGGTCATGTGGACAGACCACCCAGGACAGTAGTTAGGCACATTCCTGGTCCTCGTTCAGGACATTTCCGTCTCCGGCAACAAAGACCTGCTTCCATTCACTCATTATTGCCTCTATTGGTGGTCAGTTCTGTTTTAAATCACTTTGTCAGCATCAGTCAAAATAATTTGCCACTTTCGCTCCCAACTTCAAATTCTGACTTTTGCTCCTTAAAGAAAAGATGAGTATTTTCAAGTGCACATTTTCTTAAAAGGGAAGGAAGTCTCACTAAAGCCTGCTTCAAGCACCGAGGGCACTTCTAAAACAACCCAGAGTCATTAAGTCAAATGGTATACTTGAGAAACAAAGAAATAAACAGGGTTTCAGCGTGTACGTAGCGTACCCCAAAAGACCCCGATTGTAAATAGCTTCAAGATTAACTTTTGCAGACATTTAGACCAGAATGAGAAACAGAATTTGTTTGTCGTCCCACTCACAAGCCTTACCAAATTAAACCAAAGCAATTTTCCTGAAGCGCCTTGATGTGTGTTATTTTATGAGTTCCAGTTCTGCAAAGTGGCATAAATCTCAAGAAGAAAGCACAAGACAAAAGAAAACCTTTCTGAGAAAGTTTCATCTAGTGGCTTGCAGGGAAAAAAACTATGTTAATAATAAAATTCAACTAATCATAAGTCTACTTTTTAAAGGAATAGTTCACCCAAAAATGAAATTTGCTGAAGATTTACTCTCCCTCACGCCATCAAAGATGTAGATTAATTTGTTTCTTCAAGGGAACAGATTTGGAGAAATGTAGCATTTCATCACTTGTTCACCAGTGGATGCTCTGCAGTGAATGGGTGCCGTCAGATTGAGTGTCCAAACAGCTGATAAAAACATCACAATAATCCACAAATAATCCACACCACTCCAGTCCATCAGTTTTGTGAAGAGAAAAGCTGAGAAACTAAATAATCATTAGTTTTTCATTTCAAACCGTTGCTTCTGGTTAAAATAATATAGAGGACGCATATTACGCATCTGTAATTTAGCTTTCTCCAGTGAAAAGATCATCTTGTCTGAATCAGATGAGAAATATGCACAGATCAAGCACCATTAACAAGCAAAAACAGTTCTAAACAGATTTTGTCACTGGAGGAAGTGTTATTATCAATTATGGACTATGGATTAAGGATACTTTGTCCAGAAGTGACGGTTTAAAGTTAAAACATATTAATGATGGATTTGTTTCTTACAAACACACAACTTTTCACTTCACAAGATGTTAATTGATGGACTGGAGTGGTGTGGATTATTGTGATGGTTTTATCAGCTGTTTCTGATGGCACCCATCCACTGCAGAGGATCCATTGCTGAGCAAGTGATGTAATGCTACATTGATGAAGAAACAAATTGATCTCCATCTTGGATAGTCTGAGGATCAGTACATTTTCAACAGGTTTTCATGTTTGAATGAATTAATCCTTTAATTTTTAAAAGTCAAAATAATATCTGTTTTGTTGTTGATATCAAAGGTCACGAGTCCAATCAAAAACTACAGTATTTTGCCTCAAATTCAACATCACTTGGTAGAAGTTAGCCGCATGAAACAGATGCCGACATTGACAGATTGTGTGACAAGCACTCATCCTTGAGAAAGAAGAACAAAAGTATGCAGACTATTTTAAATAAATGCTCACTTGTAACAAGAATAAACAATACTGTTTGCATGCTGACCACAATTTGTTTTATGGAGTGAATTATCGCCTCCCAAGAGCATGCAACCATCAAAATTCAATTGACATTTCGAAACCAGACACTCAAACTATAAATACTGAAAATCAGGCATTCGCTGCTGTTTACAGTTTGCTAAATTGGTCACTTTCCTACTCAGCCAATGTCATGTTAATCATTTTTGTTAATCATGGTCATATTAACAAATTTCAGTGTTTGATTCTAAAGACATTTTATTTGCTTTTGCACAATAAACTATTTTTTGACTCTGTGCTGGGTTGCCAAAATGTTAAATCGGGGTCCTAAGGCCAAAGATTTGAGATACAGTACTCTCATCAGAGGAAGCTCATGAGAAGAAGTGCTCTTTAGACCCACTCGGTGGCAAGATGGCTTAAAAGATTTTAGATAACACTAAACATGCTTTAAAACAAGCTAAAACAGAAAATAAAAACAAGATGTAAACGGATGTCTTATTCTTGTTCTTATTTTTTATTAGTTTCTTATTTTTATTTTGTTTTGTTCTTTAGAATTACATGTTTTAGTCACATTGGAAAACCTGGATATATGAGGGAATTTTAAAAGTGTGATTTCTAGACCTGGCAACCGTAAAAAATAAAAAATAAAAAAACATCTACACTTAAAAAACTTTTTTGTAATTATGTCAAGTTCTAAAATATTTGTGAATTGATTTGTGAAAAATTGCTATTTGTGAATATAAAATATAAACAAACAAACAAATAAATAAATACAAGTGATCACGAACGACTAAGTTTTAAATTCACTGGTAATGAAATGTGTAAATTGCAGAATTAATTTTAAGCATTATTGTACTTACTCTATTTAATTATTTTAATATTGTATATTGTTATAAATATAATTTATAATATTTAAATAAATGTTTAATTAAACAAATTAAATTGCCACTCCTATTTTCTGTAAATTCATATGGTAATTTAAAAAAAATGTAAACCCTGAAGAACATTCAGTTATTGAAACTTCTGGAATTGCAAAATTGTATTATTTGAATTGTTTATTATTATTTTTTTTATTAATTATTTAAATAATTAAATTCAATATTATCATAAATATAACCCATAATAATATTATAAATATTAAATTTTTTTAATTTGCCACTCCTACAGTAATTTCTCTAAATTCTCTAAACATTCAGTTATTGAAACTTCTGGAATTATGGAATGTTATTATTTTAATAATTTATAATTCTATATTTTAAAATATATTTCAAAATATTTATATAAATATATTAATATTTAATTTAAATTGCAGCTCCTAGTTTGAGGCCTTCAAATATTGTCAAGGATGATGGTGGTCCTCAGAGACAAAAAGGTTGAGAACCGCTACATTAAAACTAACTAGCATTTAGGGGGCAAAGCAAAGAAAAGCCATCACTGCACGCTTCCTTTTATCAAGCAGATCACTAAATGACGGCAACACCTCAGAGACGACCTTTCGACTCCTTAACAAGATCCAAACGGCCTTTTCTGCCACACACTTTACTGCCGCTGCAAATCCAACAGCCTCTTGATTGTCCATCCCAGCTGGCCAGTGAATCACGCTGAACGAAAAGGTTGTGAAGACAGACGTTCTGTACGTGTGCCAGTCAGACGGGGGATTTCTGGTGTGAGCATCAACCCGTGTTTTGTCCATGTTCAGTGGCTCAGAAAAAGAAGTGATTAGTTTGTCCCATTTCTTAAAGTACTTCCAGGTCTCAAGTTGCAGAGATAAAAGCTGAGCGCGGTTTAAAGGCAACAGATACTGACGCAGAAGAGGAAAAGATGTTAAGCGGTGTACAGGAATGCATGCTGAGCGTGTTTAAAAACAAACCAAAGCTGGATCGGGGGACGAGGCCTAAATTTTGCAGGTATAATGAGTAGTTTCACCTTCTCTGAGAGACAAAGGGGTCTTTGAGGTTTGTGTTGGCTCTAGTAATAAGACTCCAGAGAAAATCACAACTTGCAGGATAAACTGTTATGCAACTGTCAGTCATTCTGGCATGAGACCACTAGAGCCGCCACGAGTCCGGGATAAAAATGAACTGTGGATGTTAACTTGATTAAGAGAAGGA